GGAGTAGAAGTTGTGTCTACAGTCCGTCCTGCTATGTTGTGTCTCTAGTTTCCGGGTGTTACCCCTTAGGTTAGTGTTGAGACTAAGCTTAAGTAGGTGTTAAAGAGAATGTCCAGAAGTGTAAGACATTAGAAGGTCACCTCTAAGACGTCTATACTCTAATGAGTAGAGGTTAAGTGATTGGAGGCGCTCTTCATAAGGTGATTTGGTGCATATCTTCGTCATTTTCTTGGGAAACCTACAGACTCGGGTCCTTTCACAACTTATTCTAACCACCATGGGTTGTCACGCCGGCTGATGGATGGACACGCGTTACACATCCTAACCGTACCTGCTTCTTATCTTATATCTTCTAATTCAAATGCCATATGACAAGCAAGCAATGCCCCTACCCGCACTAATGGAACACTCGTAACTCAAAGGCACCCTGTATGGTACCTTACATTGGTCTACGCACTCACTTAGCTCTTTAGTGAGAATATTACTACAGTCCTGCTAAAAATCCCATGAACCCCCCTGCCTCCATCAAAACAAATAAGTTTTTATTTGCTGCATATAGCAATTTCATTTTTCAGAAGTAAGATATAACAGTTAGAATTGGAGCGAAATGGCAGTATACAGCAGATCCACGTGGTACATGTCTTCATCGATTAACTGAAATAGACAATACGGATATTAGCTTCTTTAGAAAGACTAGTGTCTAACTTGAACTTACTGCGTGAGAAAGTTATATTGGGACTATGAATAATGTAGGAATCCATTCAACCAGGGTGTACGAAGCACTCAAACTGGAAGACAGTTGTCCAAAAATAATTCGAATATGAAGGTGAAAATTCGCAGGTACTTTTCATCGTAAGGGTGGACATATTAGGTACCGGATGACGTCATACCGTAAAAAACAGGTTTGCGAGTGGTGAAATATGATCTATTAAACAGTTAGCTTAATAACAGTTAATTACCTTTTTACTCTCTGACCATGTCCTTTCGTATTCCTTTTATGGCCAAAACAGCAAACATATACTACACACTGATAGCAGATTTCCGGCTTCTCAATTTTAAGCTTGCTCTAACGCACTACGTAACAAGTACAACCCCTCTATTTTTTATAACAAACCCTCTGCAATAGATTGGTAGTATCTGTGACTTCGTCTATGGTTGTCGGAAGTCTGGGTCCTTTCGAAAACAATACTGATATCAACTACTGCTAGGCAATCAGTATTAGTTTGACTCGTTGGCGGGATAGTGTTGTCCATAATACTGAAGAAAATTAAAAACTGCAGATTGTTTCCTTTCAATTTGCCGATTATATCATAAAGGACAGTTAGGAACGAACAAGCGGACAGTTAGTCACAGGCGGCAGCAACAATTATTTTAGCTAAAAAACGAACTTCGGCTTTGGGTATCTAGAAAACAAGTCAATACAAAACCGATTACCATTTTAAAACATAAGACTAGACAGCTTGGCTGAAGAAATACATTGACTTGGGAAGAATCAGCGAAAACCCAAATAGCAATGCTGATTCGAAGTAAATTTCACTCCAACATATAGAACATTACACTACCTGCGGCATTTTAGCACACTGAAACATTAAATTACATAGCTACACAAAAGAAATAGCTGAAGGAAGCACAGAACGAAGAAAGCCGACCGCTATTGCTTACAAAGATGACGGATATAATAATTTTCGCCCCATTCTGTTTGGTTGCTAAGCTGAAGGGCACATTTACGAAATTGAGTTGCGTTTAATTGCAGCCGAATCGTATGACTGATCGTTATTGAAATATAAGCATCGTCAATCGTCGCATATATTTATCGATTTATATCGCGTTAGTAAATAACGGAATTGAAGAAGTCAAATGCGATAACAGATTTTTTAACACGCATATTTTGAACGCTTGTTGGTTGAGACAGATAACCAGAGAGGCATTGCGCAGTAGAGGAAAAAGAAAGAGTGGAGCGAATCGAAGTGTCGTGCCGTGGAGAAGACATGTAAGTCAACTCCTTTTTTAATCAAGCGTTAATCAATATTTATAGTCACACAAAAATAAGCTAAAGACATGTGATGAGTAAGATAAGATATACTCACATATACGCTCATATAGAAGCAGTTAGGGCTGATAAATGAATAATTATTTATGTCAAAATGTGACTCAGGAAGAATGGATAAAATGGCCTCTCGAGAAGCTAGAATAAGTTGTGTAGGATTTACATGGTAACCGACACTACAAGTGTAGGAAGCAATTTCCTACTGGTTCTAGTATAGTACAATGAAGGATGGAGGCTTTCGCTTCTCCGTCACAATATTGAATCAAGTAATTTAGCTTAGCTCTAAATCCAGTATTCTCACTCCCAATGCATTCTTCGAAATTTCTAGTGAAGTTCCAATAATTTGTCGGTGTACCATCAAACCTTACGACTTTTCTTTTTAGTAAATACAGATTTTCTGAATATTGTATTCTCACTGTTGCTTACTGATTGGCCGGAACCTTCACATCTCTGTCAGCGTAAATTTTCTAGTTCAATTTCCTTTTCTAACTGGGTTATGCGCAACCTAGCTAACTGTAGTTCTGTCATGCTATTGCTTTCGAGTTCGTCCTTTTCAAGTTTATCCTCGTCATAAACTTCCGAATGATGGGGTGATAACTCTGGAATCTCATCGGAATCGTAGTATTTATTGGAAGTCATTTCAATAAGTATGTCGAATCTATTGTTCGAAACTTTGTAGGAAGCAATTTCCTACAGGTTTAATTGTGAGCTATTCCCTAGAACGTCGAATACAGAGTCTTGGTTTGGTCAAAGTCAGAACAAGCAAGCGATTTGGCTAGATAAACGTTATCGGTTTCTAAAACATAAATTAACATCGTTAGTGTACAAACAAACAGTACGGTCCATTAATACAGGGAAAAACAGAGATAAATAACATACCGAACAGTAGCCAGAGAATAGGAAAAATGAGTCAATAAAGCGAATATTGTTATACAATGAACATCAAAATGCGATTGGTTAATAAAGAGATACAGTCACACGAGGTCAAAGGGAGTTAATGTGGTGGTGGGCGTTTCACTTTATTATTGGTGGGTTCGTCTATCGATCACATTTCACAAAAAGTTTAGGAAGCTCGATTCCTTGCAAATTGTTCAATGAAGCCTTACGAGACAAGGCGCCTGCCACTAGATTGTTTGCCCCAGAAGTGTGTCGTACGTCTGAAGTAAACTGGGAAAAGTGGTCCAGTTGTCGAGACTCTCCGTGGGAGTACTTATCTGAAGACAAGCTAGGAGAGAATGTGAGAGGTTTGTAGTCGGTAAACAGAGTTGATTCTCGGTTTTCCACATTGTTAAAAGTGCCGTACAGCACAATATATGGCTGTGTTCCTTGCCGAAAGTGTTATACCCCGATTTAGTGTCTTACAACCGTTACAGGAAAAATGTCAAAGACTGAATACAATTGTTTATCCATTGTTGTAAGACTTCTTTTGCCGAGTTGCGTGCGTCTATTGTGATATTAATGGGTGCTTTTATGTTCTGGTGTGTGAGCATGGTTGCTTTTGTGACAAGTTCCTTAATTGTGGAGGATGCTTTGTTTGTGTTGTCGTCCAAAGTGGTGACTTTCGCATTTACACGAAGTTGGTTAGTTGAGGGTCTCATGAGAGACACACAATTCGGTGTGAACCATAGATGGAAACTTACCAGGCCGTTGAACGTAAATAACCGCTTGACTACGGTTATTTCTGGGTAATCCATAATGGCCACCACTTTGCTTTTCAGGATGCTTATGCCATTAGCTTCAATAGTGTGTTCCGTAAGAACTAGGGAGTCGGTTCAGATTCGATATTTCTGAATGTCTACATTAATGCCGTTCTTTTGAAGTCGTTCGAAAACAAGGATCACATGCTGGAGAGGACATTCTCTGTGAGAGCTTGTGATCAAGCAGTCATCTACATATGCGTGTATGAAGTTGGTACCTCGAAAGACAGCATCAATGAATCCCTTAAAATTTTGTGCAGCATTTTAAAGCCAAAAAGCACACGCAAAAATTTGTGGAGTTCAAAGTTGGTAATAATAACGGCTTTAGGGATGCCGTCAACAGCCATAAGAATCTGATTACCAGCTTAAATCAAAGCGATTTTTTTAAAATGTGCTTTTGCTTTTTAAAGTAGCTGCCGAATAGTGAACGCCAACTTCTGCACCAGTTTTCATGAGAAAGCGAACTTCCGTCACCAAATCAGTGCTATACAACAAATGCCCTTGTTCGCCAACTCAACTTGCCAATAACGCGTTTCGGTGGAGGCAAGAAGAGATTTCAGTGTCGTACGACTTTGAGATCGGGAAATTTCAGAGTTTTCTGTAATTTATAGAAGTTAGCCTCTTCGTAAAAGAACCAGGCTTCTATGTTTTCGGGCCAATATGGAATTATCTAAATGTTGGGTGGTGAGAGAGCTTTGATCCTCAGCAGTTTGATGGTTTGTCACATTATGACAAAGATATAAAATTTCAATGGGCGGGAGAATATGAAAACAAAATTACATTAGGTATATATAAAAATGAACAGATTCACAGTTTGTGGATTGATGTGTCAGGAAACGTCGACCCCACCTCTAAAGATGTCATGGGTATTCATAGTTTGACAACGCCTTTACTAATACACCATTGTAATCGAAGTATGCCAACCCAGTCAAATCAGGAGTCACAAATGAAGAGGTGCGAAGTTATATTTGGAGGTTATCTATATCTCGAGAAGCGTTTGATCTAAACTAGGTATCAGCTGTGGAAGATGCGTAGTGCGGCGTACCAGCTCGTGAAATAGTGTGGATGCATGACCGAGCGCATTTAGCTAGTCCAGTGAAACTAATGAGGCCAGCATAAAATATTAAAGACTGACAAAAATATTTATTTTGGAGATTTATTTATCTCTTCAAACTTTTTAAATCATGACAATACCAGCAAGTTTTCCAGTCACAGTTTCTAATTTGTTTGTTGGCTTGTACTACAGCAAAGATTTTGCAAGGTCATGATTTTAGCTCAACTATGAAAAATAGTATATGATAACGATGGTTGTATATTTTGGAACATATAAAGTTTCTAGACTGACTATATGTCTGTTATTAATTGAACTTGCTAGTACTCAAAATTGGTGGAACTTTGAATCCCACATAAATCCATTCAAACTTCCTGTATTTACTCCACTGCCAAACCAACGGTTTACTCATATTCCTGAAGTCAATCAATACGTTCCGATGCCAAACGATGTTGTTGTGGACATACCAAGGTTTGTTTCAGCACATGTTTTCTGTAAAATGCATACCAAGGGCCGGGATGGGAAAGTTTATTGGTTTTTCTACTACGATAAATTATGGCCATACCTGGTCAAGGTGGCAACCAACAAGTGGTCGATTGATCAATGCGTTTCTCGGAATACCATATGCAGCACCCCCAACCGATGGAAGAAGGTTCAGGGTTTGTGTGTTTTGATGTTCATTCTATTTGAATACAGTTTCCCGTTCCTGCTTACTTAGATACCCGATTTCCTTGGTTTGCAAAACGCTTTAGATCAGCGTGTATGCAACCATACATCTGGCTTAGCCGATTTATACCAGGCTTTACAGATATAAGTGAAGACTGTTTGTATCTGAACATTTATTATCCAAATGTAAGTTCGTATCATCATCCATTATTTTTTGAACTAATCATGTTTTCATGCATCTTGTTTATAAACAGGACACATTATGATTCTCATGAAAACTTTTAAATACTATAACTTCAAAAGTGTCATACTGTATTTATTATATTGTAGAGTATTTTAGCTAGCCAACCGACCAGTTATGAACGTCATTTGTGAAGAGATCTTAAATAATGATCAAGATATAATGTACGGATATTAGAGTTTTTGAGATGTGTTAAACTGACATACGTCTAAACATCTAATGTAGCTCTGAGAATCGTTACATGCTTATTATTTGCTCATGATTATCCACAAAGAGTATTAAGAGGATTATATGTCATTAATTACGTGAATTATTGCAAACCTAGTAGTTTTAACTGCTTTTCTGCTCTTGGTGCTTTAGGAAAAACACACTAAACTCCATTATTTATGAGTTTTCAGGAATTTGTTTTAGCTTAAATGCTCACGGTGTTGACTGGAAATCTAAAATATGTCGCATAGTTCTATTATTAATATTTGTGTTTCGGTTTACTTTACTCATTCATCTCAAGGCTATGTATATAAGATTATGGTCTACAGGACGGAATTTATGCTTAAAGAGTGCTAATTTGATCCGAAATGTGATGCAAAACGGTGGGTCAGTACCCAGGACTTAATTTAACGTGTATCGTTTTACAGTAAACGTTGTCTCTCTGTAGTGTGTTAATATCACTAATAAGTGATTGCTAAAGTTGGTTTCACCCTAATAACAAGTAGCCTGTCTCTTTTTAATATCCTCTCAGCTGATTCATTTTTAAATAACACTGATTCACTTTACTACAATTTTCTGTTCTGAAAGCTTTCACGATTTCCGAAAACTGCACCTCAATAAAAAGTTAGAAAAACTTCATCACACAATCTTGTACCTTCATTTATTTAGCTGTTGTTATAGACATTGTCTTTAAGTTCGGTGCTTCATTAAATATTTTAACCTAATGTTTCGTAATATTTCTATGTTGCACGTAAAAAGATAAAATAACACAAGAAATATAAAAGACAAAACGTACGGAAATACCAAACAGTTGATTTCTTGTCGCTTTAATAATGCTCCTATAAGTATATCAAGGAAATTGAAATACTTAACGCTGTAAAAGCTGGACCGGAAAACCTTTTGTGATCAAGATTGATCACCCGGGTACTTTTAAATTTATGTGGTACCTTGACTGCTTAACGAGCAGTTGCTTCCATGGTTTAATCATATAGGAACCTTTGTGATTCATTGTTTTTAGGGCTCTTTCGGTTTGTTAGGAAATGCTGAAGTAAAAATGAATAGCACATCAATTCAACAAATTTACAAGATCAATGTTTATTTACAGATGTCATATTAAACAAATTGATCCTTTTACTTAGCACCTCAAATATCCAATTTTTGATACAAGGCAAAACGTATCACTCCTATTTTATACAGGGTACATTCAAATAATAAAAACATGCATATAATCTTAGTTTCTAACCTTATATCTCATGAAGAATATAATTCTAACAGTCATGGATATAAAAGTAGCATAGCTAAGAAAAGCCTAGTTACTGAAAGGAATTTCATTCGTAATGAGGGTTAAGCAATGGCACTAAGTGATATCTCGACATATATCACGAAATCGGTTGGACTTGGAGAGGTAGGTCATCGAATGTCTACTCAGTGATTCTGAAGTTTGCGCATTTGATGAGAGATTTGAAATCTTGCGTACCATCTAAAATTAAATTATGAGTGAGCATTACTGAGGAGTATCACAATAGAAAAAATCTCTCCTCATTACTCCCTGGTTTAAGGTAACTCTGATTCATAGCCAATAATGGTACCATGTGACAAAAACTACTTACAAAGTTAAATAGTCTTTATGATATGTTAACTAAACTACTAAATTAATTTGATGAATTCTTTGTATAGAATAATTCAGGCAGCTGAACTAACATTTCATTAACCTGGTTATCTTTACAATAAATCTTTTTCTAAACCCTACACACAGATGCAAAAATGCCTTGAATACTTATGATTTAATTTTAATTATAACAGTTATTTTATCCTCCTACTTTATACACATATGTTCTAGTTCTTCTGACTGAGAAACGGTTGATTTATTTTTAAATGAGAGATTTGATTATTTATTTATTTATTTGAATACATAAATATTAGTACAAGAGAGCGCCAATATATATGCGCCACACAAAACAATGAGAATTCGAAGAGAAAATAAAGGAGCGTGAAAAAAAGAAAACAATAACGAAGAGGTTGGTGTAAGGTAGTGTAGTAATAGTAATAGTAATAATGAGGAAACGGAAAGGTACAACCAGAAGAAATCTTTCAGTTAAGGAAGATAAAACCACCTTTTATGAAGAAAGTAAAAGAAGGTTACGGCAGGATCGCCACTGGCTTCTATTCCGAGCCATATCTCATAACGTCTCTAGCCACTGTGTAGCACCATCTCTCGGACCCCAACCGGGGAGCCGTGAAGGACCAACAGAAGCCAGTTCTTTGCAGCTTTCTTTCACAACACGACACCATGTCATGCACTGACCACCTCTTCGCTTCTTCCAACTAGTCCCAGAGTCGGCAAATAATGCACGGCGTGGAATTCTCTGGGACGACATTCGTAGAACATATCCAAGCCACCGAAGTCGATATTTCAAGATGGTGACACGGATTGGATTATCATCTCTGCGCCCGAACACACGATCCCGAACCTCTGCATTACTAACATGGCGTCGCCACTGGATGTCAGCAATCCTTCGGAGACAACGATGATCGAACACAGAGAGTCTTCTAACATCCTCAACTCGGAGAGGCCAGGTTTCACAAGCATAGAGCAGAACTGCTCTCACCGACGCGTTGTAGATCCGGCCTTTCACAGCCAGACTAACATCACGAAGGCGCCAAAGGTGGCCCAGATTGGCATAAGCCGTTCTGGCTTTCACTATACGTGTATTGATCTCATCACTCACGCCACCACCAGCACTTATGCAGCTACCTAGATACATGAACTTCTCGACTACTTCTATCTGCTCACCATCCAGGGTGAGTACAGGGTTAGAATCCTGCCAGTCTTGTAGAAGTACTTTGCAGTTCGAAGGTGCAAAGCACATACCATACCTACGGACATTAATTGGCAACTGATTAAGTGCGGATTGCATGACTTGGTCATTATCGCACAGTACGACAATATCATCCGCATACTCAAGGTCGAGAAGTCTTTCTCCAGGCAACAGATCCACACCGCCATTACTTACATCCATCAGGGTTGTTTCCAGAATGTCATCGATGGCAAAGTTGAAGAGGGATGGTGGGAATGAACAACCCTGTCTAACCCCACTGCTTGAATGGAACAATGGAGAAAGGTGGTCGTATGGCCTCACTGTGCTTGAGGTGTTTGTATATAGGGCCTTTATGACGTTAATAAACTTCTCAGGCACACCCTTCTTCAATAGACAATCCCAGAAAACAGTCCTGTCCAACGAATCGAAGGCAGCCCTGATGTCAAGAAACACTACGATTGTTGGCCGTTGATAAGTATGACGGTGTTCTAACATTTGGCGGAGGGTGAAGATGTGATCAATACATCCTCGATCAGAACGAAAACCAGCCTGCTCCTCGCGAGTCAATCTTTCTTGGGTTTTGAACAACCTACGAAGTGTGGTGGAAGCCAATAGCTTGGACGCAATCGGAAGTAGACTTATCCCCCGATAGTTGTTACAGGAACGAAGTGAACCTTTTTTAAAGATAGCGACAATTATCGACTCATTCCATGACGTTGGTACACTCTCTAACTCCCAGACCTTCGTAAACAACGCCATCAGTTCCTTAGTCAGAAAGTCACCACCATCTTTAAAAAGAGCCGGAGGTAAGTCATCTGGGCCAGGTGATTTGTAACGCTTCAAGAGTTGGAGTTATTTGCGGACTTCCTCCTCATTTGGTGGATCAGTCGTCACCGGCCATGGAGGGCAGGACAGTCTGACCGATGTTGCCGGAGCAACAGGCCAGTTGAACTGCCCTTCGAAAAATTCTGCCCATCGTCCAAGACGTCGATGGATGTTAGTGATTGGCGTTCCGTCATTCTCGCATATCGTTTCGCTCTCACCAGACTTCTTGCTGGCAGTGGCTCGGATGAGTTGGAAGAGCGTCCGGTAGTTACCAGATGTAGCTGCTGCTTCCAACTCATTAGCACGCTCCGACCATCAGGCTTCTCGGTCCTTACGCAAGCTTTGCCCAATTTCCTTACGTAACATCCTTCGTCTGTGGTCAAACACCCGGTCACCCGGAGTAGACCGACGGGCTTCAATGAGTTGTAAGGAACCAGAAGAAACCCAGTGCTTATAAGCGGGACGTTTCGCGAACCCACAACTGACTGTACCCGTCACGTTCATGGCGTCATGCAATTGCAACCAATGTTCGTCTATACTTTTCGGTGGAATGGTAGCTAGCCTAGAAACTAGCTCGATTCGATACTTATTTGCAACAGAAGTTGCAACTAGCTTGCTAACATCAATCCGTTGATGGCGGTCACTTCGTTGGCCACTGAAAAGTAAGGTAAGATTGGCGCAGACCAAAGCATGGTCAGAGTCCAGATAAGTACTCCAAAAGGAGCGGCAGTCTTGTACACAACCACGCCAGCGGTAGCTGATCGCGATGTGATCAATATGAGTCCAAGCTTGGGATGCAGAGGGAGAACGCCAGGTGGCACATCGGCGATGACTGTGCCGAAAGTTAGTGCTAGCCAGAAACAAGTTGTGGTCTGTGCACAGTTGCAGTAGACGGTCCTCGTTATCTGACCTGGGACTAACAAGTCCCCATCGGCCACCTAAACGACTCTCTTCTGTGCCTAGACGCCCGACCTGAGCATTCAAGTCTCCGGCTAGTACTACAATATCTGTCGAACGCACTTTCTGGAGAAGAACAGATAACTGGTGGTAAAACTCATCCTTGATTGTATCCGGGCTGCAATCTGTCGGAGCATAGGCGGAGATGACGAGAAGACATCGTTTCTCACGCCGATTTCTTCTCACTTTGATGTAACTTTCTATTCTAACAGCACATAACTGACTGTCAATGGGGATCCAATCGATTAGAACTGCCTCAGCTCTAGCGCTTAGTGCGAGACCAACGCCAGCAAAACCAGACGAAGGTGCCACAGGGTCCCCGGATAAACGCACGTAAAACAAGCCTTTTGAAGCGACAGATGGAGAGCGAATTTGTAGTACCTCACCAGAGTCTTGAATACGGGTCTCGGATAGACAACAAACGTCGATATTAAGACTTTCCAATGATGTAGCCAGCCCTATCTGTTGTCCGACCTGCATAAGTGTGCGAACGTTGAAGGCAGCCAGTTTGAATGGTGCACGTGGTTTCAGAAAAACTGCTTCAGTATTCGTGTTTAATGGTAGCATACAATTTTCAACCGGACAGTGACTCGAGAACGTTTAGATACAGTCGGATTTCCACCAAAGACGAGCCGCTGTATAAGTATAAAGAGGGTGAATAATGTGGTAAATAATAATAATAATGATAATAATAATAATAATAGTAATAATAATCATTTGAATCATTTGATTGTTATTCGAAGCGAGAAAAGTAGTTTCCATAGATATAGAGAGTTCATCATTTGCGTGTGGGCTGCGATACTGCCCGGGTGCCCAGACCGAAGCAAGTGGTTATCTTAGGGGGCCACACCCCGAGCCTTTGACCTAAAGGTCTAACCCACAAGGCAGTGGAACATCGTAAGGAGATGCAGTCCCATGGCAGCTGGTGACCAATGATTGGTTCATACGCCATTTGTTCCCTCAGGAAACTGGAGCCCATGTGCACCATTGGTTTGGAATCCGGTTAAAGCGCCGGACATTCGCTTTTCGTCCTCTCATTTTCGTAAACAACACCCCCTCCACGAGAAGGCAATGAGTAGGACTTCCCTGGCAGAGGGTGTATACGCGTGGCCGTGTGAGAGTATTTCGAGAGGGAGAGCGGACTCTCCCCACTCTCGGCCGTACCAGGACATTTGGTGGCTAATTTTACGAAGCCTAACAAGAGTTAGGTATATATATACATAACATTTTATTGAAATTTTAGCATATTCTGTTCTAAAGCTAATGTTAGATTTCAGGGTGCTCGTTTCTTCTTGATTAGGACTAGTCAGTTAAATGTATTTGAATTCTAACTTTGATATGCACACCAAAACTTGAGCCTGGCTATCTATTGCCTCAGGCGCATGATACGTTATTTAATGATCCAATAAGTCGGTGTAAGTACGGGCTTTCTCAACGGATGTATAGCTATTCTTTAGGGTTTACAATTTTCAGTCGTTGATATTTGTGACTGCGAAAGACCTACCATGTTCATGACCTGTGAGAATCCCTTCTACACAAGTGGTCTATATCAATACAATTCATTCAAGCTGCTTTATAACAACAAAACTCACTTTTTATAGCCCTTAGTATCAATTAAGAGAAATTGAAAACTCTCTTGATGTTTGAAATTTTGTCTTAAAAATTCAGATTTACCGATTGTTATTCTTTTTATTAAAAAACATTACTGTAGAATACATTGGATGCTTCTAATACCCGTTATCCTGTGATTGTACATATTCATGGTGGAAGTTATGTTTATGGTTCTAGTCATATGTATCCTGGTTTAGCATTGGCTTCCAAGGGTTTAGTTGTAGTAACATTCAATTATCGTTTAGGACCGTTTGGTAAGTTTGCGTTTTGCTTGTTTCACCTCGAGTTTTGAAAATAATCCAGTTAACAATTTTCAGTCGAAAGGGTTTTGTGGTGCTTGGTTTAGTGCGTAGTTTGCATTCACCACAGATTGACCTTGGCCTCGGTTTCACTAAAATCCGTTTCATACCAGTAGAAAATCCCCGCTGACAATGTTCAGCCCTTAGTTCCTGCCTTCAATCCCTGATATGGTGATGTACATCTTCATTGGAAAGTCCCGTACTAATAAGAAACATTTTTCAATGTTTCCTGGAGTTTAATAGTATCCAAAGTGAAAACGGTTTGGGACGAATAGAGGCAAAGAAAAGTTGATGAATCATTTAATACTTTTTCTATTTTCATCATGACGGATCATCGAAAATAACTGTTGGTATTAGATAAAGTATGTAAATGTCAAAAATAAACCAGAGTATTAAAACGTAAGGAAATTCCTTACATATATAGATCAATTTTAGTAAATATGGAAGGATCACAAATGTTGTGTACAAAACGTTTATTATGTCATACAAAAAAGGGGGCTTGGTTAATATATATATTATAAAAAGCAACATAAATTACATTACGATGAAAGTGTACCTGGGTTGAATACACTTCGTGTTGATAGTTCGGAAACAAAGCTTTAAGTGGAAGCACACTGTCCGTTAATATTTTATTGGGTTAAACAAATTATTCCTTGCATTCAGACTATGCATATCATTTTTACAACTAGGTGTAATATGCTTCCGACGTAAGCATTGCCATTTCCATATGTACAATAATCAATCATCAAATAGTGAACAGTATCATGAGTTTTTAATTATGCTCTCTGTCGGGTTGTAATCCGGATCAGCCAGTTTCTCAATCTGAGACACTATCAATAGTCTTTTTGAGAATAGTTCTCGATGAAAAGTGTCAACAATCGTTTTCTGTTGACAATCGACAATCAATTAATTATCATGTATATTTTTAACTTTGACAAATCCTTGTAAAGAGACTACCACACAGGAAGAGTGATATGAAAAACCTAATATTGCTTCCTCTAATGTGGTTAGATGAATAAGTTAAGTAAACTCTTTGAAAGTTTAACACTGTCTCATTGATTGCAGATCTACAACACAAAATAAATAAAAGCTCAAGAATTACCAACATACAATGTCTCAGTACAATTTCCAACATTTATGCATCTCTATTTTCATTGAGCGTAATATAGTTAGTATAAGACGGAATATTTCTTACCAAACCTATTAATGATTTTATTCACTTTCCTCTCCGCATCTTTTGTTGTTTAAGTGACTTTCTTACCTGATCTCGTCCTTGATCTCAATAACATTCACCCATATCTACATGACTCTTCTTGTACTGATAATATTCATTCCATGTCATAGTCATATGAGAATTTATTGCACTCGCATTTTCTGTGTATGAATACGTTTTTGCTTAAAATTGTATCGTTCAGTACTTTACTTTCTGAACTATTAAACGTTTGTTTATCCTAATGAAAATTATGTTGTAGCTATAAACAAAGATAGCAATTTTATACATGAACGAGTATCAGTATAATACAGGAAGCATGTACATGAGGTATGCATACAGGCGCATACACAGCTTTTGCAATAATCGCGCTAAGTGCAATAATGAAAACATTTTTTAAAGAAATTTACGATATATCGGTCTTTTTCGCCTTCAAAATACCACTCATTTTTGACAATGGACTTGGTCCACGTACGTTTTCATTATTCTAAGTGTTTATAGAAGTTCTCGGGCGCCGGATATTTGATTGGCTAATAATTTCTCAATACCAAATATTTTGCTAAAAATGTACACGGACCATTTTCCTGAATTCACTTCAATCGCAATCAGTTTGATGGTTGGTCAGTGATCTGAAAACACAAAACAACCACAGAAATTCGATATTTTTACCAACGTAGAGGATTGATGGCCACCCATTCTATATATAGTCGTCACATTTGAAGACGTTAAGTGACACAGTTTATATCTAATCACACTAGCGTGTAAATACACTTATAAATGACTATGTTAGATTACTGAGGGCTATAGGTATGAAACCATACATGGTCTGAGTTTTATGCCATATATATAAGATGTTTTCATCGTTAAATGTAGAGTGGATCGTTTTCTACGTAAAGCATTAGTTACCTGTATGTTGTACGTATGACTTGGTAACGAGTATCATATACAACTCTATTAATGTCATTTTGCACTCACGCAGTGTGTTTTTATACCACTTATTCATATACAAGTAAATTCCTTTATTAGGTTCTACAGAAATCTGACGATAAAACATGTCAACCTGTCCATATGATGTAATCTAGAAAATAAAAATGGTAAAATCCAGTTCTCTACTTTATAATTCACATACATATACAATAACTATGCTAAATCCTTGCATGAATGTACATGAATAGAAATACAATAAATTGTAAAAAAAAAAAAGAAAAACTAATCAGTCAGCACAATCAGTAACATGAAAATCAGTGTGCTTATATTATTGAATAGGTTAAAAGATGTCCAATTCAATTATTTAGTCATTTTTCTAATATTTTTAAACATTTTCTTAACATCAATACCAAGATGTAACATATAAATGTACTGGAGACACATATTACACATCATAAACGTCATTCACTTGACCAAAACTTCCATAAAAGATTTTCATTTGAAAAAACAGCTTTAGTAACACTTAGAAAAGAGGACAAGCAGAAGAGGACAGACAAACGTTTGGTTTCGGCCACATGTCTTAATACGTAGTGACTGAGCGACTTGTTTATACATGTTATGCAGTCGTTGGATAATTCATATGTTTTACTGTTTGTTTTTTATTGTGTAAGTAGTCATAGTTACATTTTTAAAAAATAACAATCATTTTATTACAAATGAAATTTATTGTTTAACGCCACGAAGAAGTCACACAACACATTGAACATGTGTACTTAAGTATACATTACTGGGTGGTATTATTCATCATGTAAGGCATTCAAAAATATCTTTTGATTTTTCTTAACAAATATTATTACTATGATATACGTTTTTGTATAAAAGCAGAAAATAACAAGGCAGAAAATAACTATGCAGAATATCTGGTGTTTTTTTAACTTCATGGGATATTAGGACTAGTGAATACACAGAACTAGTATGGAGGAATTTTCATGGTGATTATAGAATTCTCATAGTAGAAAATCACTAGTTGAGCTTAGCTAGGCCGCCTTTGAAAACCTGATAGCACTGGATGGAAGTTTTATCCTAGTATGGGACTGCTTAAAAATGTACATCGATAGCCCTACATCCGGGAATCGAACCCAGAACCTTCGGTATCGTGCATGAACCCTTAACCTCCAGACTACTGAGCCTCCAACCACCGGTGTACAACTCTCACTCAGACCGACCCACGATATTGAACAGCCCTCATTCATCGCTTGTAGTGGAGAACTGTGCTCCATCCTAGGATAAAATAGCAGTCCAGTACTTCCAGATTTCCAATGATAATCTAGTTGTGAGCAGTTCTTGGTTTAAAATATATGAAAACTCGAAAATCCCTGTGTATCAGTTTATCTACCTGTTTTTCTATCTATCTATCTTACCTTTTCATTCAACCAGGTTTTCTCGCAACTGGTGATCATGCATCGATCGGTAATTATGGTCTATGGGATCAGTTACTTGTAATCACTTGGGTTAAACAAAATATCGAATGGTTTCAAGGTGATCCTGAAAAAATTACATTAATGGGAGAAAGTGCTGGTGCGGCTAGCGTCGGTCTTCATTTAATCTCACCGTTAACACGAGAAAGATGTTAGTGACGGTTGTTTATTTTTTTTCGAAAGATGAATGTTTTATGACTCCTTTTTACAAATAATGCGTATTTCTTGAAAGGTTCTGAAAACAACTTTTTATATGATGTAGAGTGTGTACTACAGAGGAATTCTTAGATCGGGATGAAAGAACTTTACAGCGCCTCCTGGTCTACTGCCCTTTTCAAGGTGATGGTAGCTCTTTAGTAAAAATTATAGTCAGTTTGACGAAAGTTTTCATTAAATATTCAACCAACACAATGAACAGAGAACTGGTATCAATCATGAGTTGATTTCATATTAAGAAATATTGCAAGCTAATGAGGATTGAATAATTGCTTTATCGACATTTATAGTTCATCAGTAGAAGTAAGCAACAATAAAATAGCCGAAGATCTGAACACATGGCTTTTTTGGCCTCTTAGAGAACGGGTACTTTTAATCTACTGAGTTGAGATTTTCATGGTCCACGTCCCAAGTTTTATTCATTTAGTGATACAACGTCGCAGCTATGTAATACACATGGTTAATCAATGAAAAAATATATAACTAAAATAGTATAGTTTTTTTTGTTTAAAGTAATTTACAATAACGCACAATTATCATCCGACACCACTCGTGAAAACTATTTCACTCTTGACATGCCTGAACTCCACCAGTCACTATTTCTAACGAGAAATTTAGGAATATGTTGAAGTAAGTCATTACTAAGTCAATTATTACAGTTTGATTGAAGAATTTTTGTAGAAATTGGTTTAATCTGTAGGTTGTTTTCTCCACAAACAACGGTATCATATTAAACCAGTTAGCAATGAATATCTGTTAGTTTTCAATAGTAAGTAGCTTATTTTCCAACTGGAAATATAACTCATAACAAACTAAACTACTATTACTGGCGAAATAATGTTCATGATGAAATCTAATATTTGAAAGAAAATATTCACAATTCCTAATGAAGAATAAAACTGATTAAAGCCCATTTAATGATCAGATGCGACTACTAACAATCATTAATCTGTATTTAGGTTATATACAAAAATTTTTTTTCAAAATCATTATTTGTACATAGTAAATGTAGCTAATTAACAGTAATTAGTAGTTATTCCAATAATTTGCTTCATTTCACAAAAAAACTTTTATTAATTTTTGCTTAATAATTCAAAAGTCTAGCTAAAGGGCTTGCATTAGTCAGAATGTTCACCAGTGAAACAGTTGTCACCAATAGAATCAGATACGCCATATCTCATCTTAATCAAGGTAGAAGTTGTAAAACCGGACGCAAGTTCTGTGTTTTAATGTATAAGCGTTAAATATGAGACCTGAATGTATTAAGTCCGGTCCCTAGGAGGTTGTATATATACATAAATGATGGCTCCTATCTTAGGTCAAAATAACAGTCTAGTACTCTATAATTTTCAATGATACATCAAGTGAGATCAGTGTTTAATGAATGTAAATTAAAAATTTCAGTCTTTTGACATCAAGAATACAGATGTACAGAATGAAAAAGTCTACAATACAATCTCTTCTTGATTATAATTAAATAAAAATCTAGTAATACGTAATTTAACCTACTGGATATGTGTTACGTATGCCCAACCACCAACTGCCCTGACGAGCGACGTTTTATGTTTTAGGAGTAGGTTGGAAGAAAGATTGGAGTGGCCAGATCAAAGCATGGATCAAATCCATGAAGTCACTGACAAGTGGACTGAGGCATGTTGGATGGTGTAGACTATCTGGTTGGGATCCGCGAGACGATAGCAACCGATGGTTAGAGACTGTGAATGACATGGCTCGAAATCGTTTGCAATAGCGCAAGGGCGTCCACTCTTTGTGTTCTCCCAAATTCTAATCTTCTGAATTCTTCATGTTCATTTTTTTCTCTTTCCCAATTTATTTCACTCGATTATACTCCTTGAATAACATCTTGAAACCCGAATGTATCTGATCACTGCTTCTACTTTCACTACCTCTACGACTATGGGAGTAGAATCGACAATTGTATCTCTGTGCTAATGTGGTATAACAAGTCGAACTGATGTACGTACGTACGGAGTTCTACTTTGTTGAGTGACCGGCTGATTTTAGGTCTGATGAAGTTCTAATAGAAATTAAGATTGTTTGCTTATATGTCTCGTTTTAATATTGTTATTATAATGGATTTCTTTGAATTATGAAGAGTTAGACTAAAAAAATCATTCTAATCAACACATATCTTCCTTCATTAATGTAATAATCATGTTGTTTATATAATGACCAATTTTTGCAGATATTTTTTGAGATGTTAGATGGTTAGAGGTTTTCTTTTTCCCAGCTGGGCTTACCTTGATCTCGGCAATGATATTTACGCTGAGACGTGAACCTAGTAACTATCATTCCAAACACTAACGCATTATTCCCTAATCTACTAATCTATTCACATTCACTCAGAGTTTTTCCGTTTCAGCAAAACACTTAGTGGTTCAGTTTGTATATTTATAGGACAGATCATATATGTGTACAAAGAGCAAGTCTGTTTATTAAAAGACTATTGAAAGCTATAAAAGATAACTTTTGATTTTATATGTTAGTTAATATTTATTTATATCTATCTCAATCTATCTATAGTTTGATCTAATAGTTAAACATTGAAGCAAAATTCTGTCGATTATTTATATGTACAGGTCATTTATGTATTCATTAAACAAGCAATTTTTCGAATTGCTGTGAAACTATACTTTATGGAGGACCTTTTGAGCAACGCTAAACTGACCTTGAGAGTGTCCACCTAATAACTAGAACCAAATGATGGTTAAAAACCACTATGAGGAATTACAATTATGACTTACAGTTGATGATTAAGGTTAGAAATTAGATTTTGGGTTTTCATCTTGAAGTGACATCAACTATAATGACAAAACTATTTATTCGAATGAATGAGTTAATTTCGCGCCAAAACCCGAGACCTGTTATCTTATATGTGATTGGTTCGCTCGTAAATTATAGTCTCGCCTGTTTATCAAAAATATTTATTATATAGAACTTATATATACAGTTACATCAAGTTCCCAACTCAGTCTATAACCTATGAAGTGGAAGAAGCCAGAGGCTGTGTGAAAAACCATGCTTCCAAAATCTAAATGGTTATGTTTACAAGTGGAGTATATATATATATATATATATATATATATATATATATATATATATATATATATGTATATATATATATATATTCATTTCATTTATTTTTTGGTTCGATGGTTGACGAATTCTTCATATGGATACAAAATTCTAATGGAATTTGCTAGCTTACACTATCTATGATTCTGATAGAATGTCTGACAGATTACCAAACAGATACTTTACTGCGTAATAGTTTTCCGTGCTTTAGTTTATAACTATGATACACGTATAAGTTGCTAGTATTCAATAATGTTTTCGAGTCATTTTTCGCGTATAGCGCAACCTTTAAGGCTGAAGTTAAGTGTAAGAAACTGGGTAATGTTGATAATTTTTTTTATAATACTATGAACCTTCATCCACTGAGACATATGATTTGTGTTACACATTCTTAACCATCGTCTACGAGAAGTAATATCTTGGTTAGTATGGAAGTAGGAATTAGGCTAAGGTAGCCAGAGCAAAATATCAAAACAGTCAACAAAAGCAACAGCTGTCGTTCTGATCAGTGTTAATGCGTTCTGAATACTTAGTTGATGGTGTAACTTTATCTGATACTTGTTTGAAATGACCATAATGGATTATATGAATTCATTCCTTTTCTGCATCTCCCTCCATAATTTGAATTTTGATGGTCTTATTCCAAAGCTTTCATTTTTCCAGTTAATTTGTTCTATTAAATCAGCTTATTTATATTTTGTTTCACTAATTTCCTCTGTCGCTATACTGATGAGAAATTATTTTATTATTTATTTGAACACATAAATATTGGTACAAGAGGGCACCAAATATATATGCGCCACACATCATATTCAGCAAATAAAGATCAGTCTGTATTTCAATATATATGAGCATACCTATTCACTGATTCATTTGTTAAGATATTGTAATGAACACGAATACAGATGGGAACAATCGAATGATAGGAACGATGGGAAAGATGGGAACAACAACCTTACCTCAGATCTTATTTTTTTATGACTAACTAACCGACTAGCTATGATGCTAACAAGTTGTTGATTGTATTAATCACAGACAGATTTCAACTAGAGAACTATTGAAAGCCAGAAAGCACTAGACAACTATTTTGTATTAGTATGAGACTCCTCAGTAGTGTACCTGAATAACCCCATTGAGAATAGAATCCAGATTTGGTAATTTTTGCAATAGACACTTGACCATTAGAACCACTAAGTCGGTATAATTCCAATTCTAATCAATGTAATACAGATAGACAATATTTACATTCTGTTGGTAACAACTGTTTCAACATCTGAGCTTCATCAGTCATGACTTCTCATTAAAACTTCAGAAGTATCTTGGATTAAGTTAATAGTAAACTGATTAAATGTCATTTTTATTGTTGCAATGTAAAATATCATTCTTATCATTTCTACATCTTATAGAATCATTGAATCGGTTTATTTTATGCATCCTTTGAATATGTACAGTATAGTTATTACCACTTTTCTATGTTACATCATTCCATTCAGTCCTATAAATCTGTACAAGGACAAATCGATTTTTTGCAAATTTTCTCTAATTTCAATTCTACAAAATTATGTAAATTAGTTTTCAATTCGAAACTGCAAATATTAAACAACAGAATATCACATATGTTTAAATTGAATAAATATAAATAGACATAAGCACAACCACACAATGGTGTTCAATATTTTTGCATTAACACTTGTTGATTTTTAAGTGTTTTTGCTTACTCTCTAGCACTCCATCAATCAAATCTCACTTCACTTCAGTCACACACACACACTCCCTATCTCCTTATTTCTATGCATAAGGTTTAACCGTCTGTCATATGTGTACATACAGTTCGAATAT